TCAACAGACGCACTTTTGTGCCTTCGTGATAACTTCGCCTCGATACAACGAAACCGCAGAACCAAATCAGCAGTCGCGCCATTGTAATTTGTGGAGGGGAAGTTAACACAAAAATGTAGGTTATGCAATTTTCACGTGTTTTTGACACGACGTGGATAAAGTGGATGCTTAAAGGGGAGTGTGTAATTGCCGAACGTTCCATTTCTTCTGCAAACGAATTCTGAGTAGATTTGATACTTGATTGGAGAGGTTGTAAACTGAACGTCGATGGGCGAACTCCATTTCGTGTATTGTCGGCCCAATGGAATCGCTACGTAATATGACTAGAGGAATTTATCAGTGTCCTTAAGAAGCGACTGTTGTGAACAAAAGATTGAAAAAAATGTTGCAGAATACAAAATAAATTAATATTTACAAAATTGTATTTTAAAAATTCCTCGAGAACGTTAATAGCTAAAGACCTCCAACGCACCACGTGACAATTTTATATTCCCGTGCAATGCAACAGTATATTTGCTTCTTGGAACGCACAAATTTTCTCTTGTTCAGTCGAAGTGTGGCTGATTCTAATGAACCATCGTGTGGAACGGATTTTCTTTAGACTTGTAACTCTGTGTAATGAACGTTAGTGCAGTATCGGTTAGAACGCTGGCCTTGTAATCCTGGGGTCTCGGGTTCGAATTTATAACTTGTGTTGGGCAAGGCCGTGGTCTAGGCAACACGGAGGCTTCCCCGGTTTCTCCGTGGCATCCCAACAATTACTCCATTCACACACAGAAGAAGGCAATGGCAAACCACTGCTGGATCATCTGCCAAGAACGTATATGAACAGGTCCCAGTCCGAGAAGAGAAAAGGATGGAAGGATCCTGTTCATATGGACCTGTCGTCAGACAGAACACTTAAATAAAATCTTGAAGCCACGTTCAGTTCAGAAATTTTGTCGTTTCGTCTGCTGTTTAAAAACGTAAAGATCAAAATATACAAAACTATAATTTTGCCTGTAGTTTTGTATGGTGTGAAACTTGGTCTTTAAACACAAAGGGAGGAACGTAGACTGACTGAGGGTGTTTGAGAACGGGGTGTCTGAGGAGAATATTTGGACCTAAGAGGGATGAAGAAAGTTACATAATGAGGAGTTTCATAAGTTGTATGTTCTCCTCGCAGATCAAATCACGGAGGATGCGATGGGCCGGCATTTGTTAATTGATTTTTGTGTCGCCAAGGGAGTGAGCGGGCCCCTAAGAGTTGGGCTGCGCGCCTCGTACTCTGGGTGAGTCTCACGTTCGGCGTGCTCCTGTACACTGCCTACTCGGCCACCCTGATCTCCAGCCTCGCCGTCCAGCGCAGCCAGTATCCGTTCCTCAGCCTGGAACAGCTGCTGGAGAGCCCGTTCTGCGTCTGCGTAGTGCGCAATTCTACGGCTGACGCCGTTCTGCGGGTAAGGACGGGCAATCCGCAGGCCACAGACTGGAGCATGCCACGCGGCTTAAAGATAATTTGGAAGTCGTAGGCGCAAATAACGAAAGAATATGACGGTGGGTGTTAAGTAAATAGTGCGGTAGGATGTGCGAGCTTCTGAAG